TCTCGTTGATTCTTGGAAATGAATGGATCTAGAGATAATTATCCCGCCACCGCACAGGAAGCCGCTCTTACTCGCGTTGGCGCATCAGACAACTGCCAGTTTATGAAATGTGACTAATCCTCCCTACAGCGAAACTAATTTTGGTATTGATGTTCCCCACAGTCTAGATATAACCCATCCTCCATTAGGAACAAGGATCGACCAAGCAATGTAGCTTAGAGTTCCAAGTCCTCTTCTTGTTGAGCAACCGAAGATGTTGTATAGTTTTAGCATTCTAGAAGCAAACTAATGAACGAATGAGTTACTCAACAGTAACTACAACATCATTCATCAGTAGAACTCCAAGGCGATGGAGGAACGATTATTTCGCTTAGAAGAAAGCCTCCACCTTGCTCAGCCCCGAGCAAACACGGTTCAAGAGGCCACGTCTAGAAGAAACCACTCTACTAGACTAGAGCCGGCCATTGAAAAAGGAAACCGGGATTAGAAATTGAAAGACCATTCAAAAGGCAGAAAATGCAATTCCCCTCCTCGATCTTGGGAGGAGATCAAGGCAGTCACTTTACCAGCCACCAAAGCCGCCTTGAGCAACATCATGCAAGGAACGAAGAAAAGCCTATGGTCGTACATCGATCAGTTCACTCAAGTGGTGGTGGAAATATATGGAATCGATGAACCCTTCGAATTCTAGATCTTCGAAAGGGGCCTCCTCCGCAACAATCATTTCCTTATCCAAGAGTCTACCTAGACAGATAAATCAAAATATTGTCACTTCCCCCGAGGACATGACCAGACGCAGATGATTACGTCCAACTTATAGATGCAATTGAAGTAATGATTAAGAAAGGTCGGTTATTCGAGTATGTCAAGGGCCACATGCGAGACCGAGGAGAGTCCCCAAAAAACAAATCCTCTATAAAAAAAATTTAAGTCGGTCAAAGTTGTGAAAAGAGAGAATCCAGCAAGAGGAAACACCTGTATATTGTTTCCATTCTCGACGGTGCCCCCTAGGAAAACCTCCCTTCCAAATGGACGACCAAAAACGAAATTTTTTTAGACGATGGCCATCTTAAAAAACAAAGGTGGTTCGTCATCCAAGATCCTTGACCGACCTATGTTGGGGTTTCGAGACTCCCAGAAAGTTGAGGGCATTTCTAATAAATTATTTCCCTTGGTAATCACGTCCATCATAGGACAATTTGATGTCTCTCAGGTCTTGATTGACAGAGGAAGTTTGTGTGATATCCTTTTTCGTCGTTGTTCAAAAAACACGCCTAGATTGAAAAAGTATAATACCATACAATGATTCATATCTGCAAGCATTTAACGGGACGACCGCTCTTAATGGTATCTGTAGGCAAGGAAAGAGACCTTTGATTGATCAACACTCAGTTTTTGGTCATCCCATGGAAGAGCCTCTATAACTGCGTTTTGGGTAGGCCTTTCACAACAGCGCTGGACGTGTGGCCTTGCTTGTGCACTTAAAGCTCAAATACCACAACCTTTATGAAGAATTTTTTATCTTGTGTGCCGACCTCGAAGGGGAAAAAAAGATACATCATGCACTCTATATGGACCAATGAGTAAGTGTATCTATGGAAATTAATATGGCTTTCTTCACCTATCAGCTTCAAAGTATTAACCTCTGCATGCTCAGACGTGGCTAAACAAAAGGGAGGCCAACTATGGAAATAAAAGGCGAAAAATCCTCTCGATTATTTTTTTTTAGTTTTATGTATTTTTATGATGATTTATTCTTGATTTAGGATTGGAGTTATATATTTTATAAATAGGACATAGTATTGAGTAATTTGTATCAAAGTTAATAGTCATTGTCAATAATACTTTTTCTCTCATTTTGTTTTACAAATGATCATATATTCAACATGATATTAAGAGTCTACTTCGATCCTCCTTGAATTACTAGTTACTTCAGATATTGAGTTCCCAAAAGTTTGGGAATATGGTTGTTTTAATTTTTCCTAATTGGTTCTTTTGAAGAAAAAATATATTTTTTTAATATCTAAATTGTTTATGGCATATTGTCTCCTACTTTGTATGCTTGAAGATGAGATTGAATTATATATGGTATTGATTAACTCGCTACTACAAAAAGGACATACTACAACGCCTATTTCACCATGGTTCATTAAAGGACCGTTGTAACATCTTGAAAATCAAGTGTCTTCATATTTATTTACTTTTTAATTAAAAATAGTTTACACACTATCACAGTTAGATAAAGCAACCATGGTGAAAAAATTTTAAGTTCATGGGTTTGAATCTCAACGCCAACAAATTTGTGATTTTTTAATATTATAGTGGTGCCTTTCTTTTTTTATTTATTTTTAAATTTAAAAAAATTCAAAATTTTCACTTTGGCTGAATAAACCAACTGTGGTGATATAACTTTCTTTTTTTAAATGATTAAAAACTGACGCTTTTTATTAAATTAAATTAAATAAATGGGATATCACCACAGTTTGTTAAACCAAAGTGGTGATATGATTTCCCCTTTTTTTATAATTTTTAAATGGTTAAAAATGGTATTTTTTTTATTAAATTAAATTAAATAAATTGGATATCACCACAGTTAGTTTCAATAACCTAGTGAAATGTTATATTCTCATTCAAGAAACACAACTTAGATTTTCATGTCTATTCATGTTTTATTGCCTTACGAAATAAAACACACATTTAGTGCTTAGAAACTATTTGAACTCTAATATTTTTTTCATTTCCATTAACAAAAATAACAATCATATCGTTTAATCTCCAACAATATTGTTATTACTGTTGAGTTATTGAGATATTGTAGGTCATGATATTGATGGTTTTGTATTATTGAGATATTGTATGTTTTGGTATTGAGATATATATTGTTGTTCATGATGTTGAGATATGTATGTTTATGATGTTGGTATTGGTGTTGTTGAGATATGTTTGTTTAAATTGTTGTTGTTGTGTTATTGAGATATTGTAGGTTTTGTTATTTATGATTTTGTGTTATTGATATTGAAGGTTTTGGTATTGAGATATATATTATTGTTGTTGCTAATGTTGTTGTTGATATGTTTAGCACCTAAACCTTAAAGGTTGATTTATTATTGTTGTTATTGGTGAGAATGTTAATGAATTTTTAGTACCTATGTTGTTGTTGATGTTTAATTCATAAATCCTAAAGGTTTATTTGTTGTTGTTGGTGAGAATGATAATGAAGTTATCGTTTTTTAGATATATTATGATTATGTTATTGTTGATGATGATGTGTTTAGTGCCTACTAAACCTTACTATTTTATTTGTTGTTGGTGATGAGAATTTTAGTTAAAGTTTAGTGTCTGTGTTATTGTTGTTGTTATTGAAGACGTCATTATGTAATATTTGTGATTATTTTCGATCAAACCATTGAACTTTCAAATAAAAAATGATGAATAAATGAGCAAAGTAGCTGAGTGAAGGAATAGTGGGGACTTAAAAAATATTTTGAAGAAAAATAAGGAAATAAAAGGAAGATTTAACCCTAGAATTATCGCGACTGTGATGTTCTTGTTATGGGCGCGATATAAAAGTGTCGGAATCGCGATACAATCCACCGTGGTTGTAATTTAGTGAAAATTTAACATGCTTTTTCCAAGTTTAAATAGAAAAGAAATGCTACTTTTTTAGGGTTCTGAATTTTATGCGAGAAAATGAAGGCAAGGGATTTTCTAGTACAGATTTTAAGTGCTTTTGAGCAATTGGAGACATATTTCTTTATTAATTTTCGTGTACTTTTCATATCATCTCATGGTATTTCATTATTTAACTATGAGTGGATCAATAAATTTCTCTTGATTAGGTCTTAGGAGATGAACTTGATTTTACTCTGTTGGATCATATGTTTGTTTGATGTTAATTGAATATTTTCAATTTATAATTATTATTCAACTGCTTTTATTTTTAATGTTCTTTGTGTGTTGACGAGTGCGCAAAATGAATTTATATGAGTAGAGATTATTGATTGTAAGTCTACCAATCATACAGTAAATGTTCAACTTAGTAATTAACTAGGAATAAGTAATTATAAGTTGTGGCTAGAGAATTAAGGCACATAGATTGTCGTCTAAATCACTTAGTTGCACACTAAAGAATTGAGTGCAATGGTATTGTTAATTCGCTGTAAAATTATAGAGTCAATTATATTTAAATAATGCATAATCATCGGCAGGATAAAATTAAGGGATTCAAATAAGATCTAATCACCTTCTCATTATCGTAATTTTTCTCAAGTTTTATTCGCGTGATTATTTTCTATAAAAATCAATCTAAAAACTTGTTGTTACTTTAAAATCCCAGATTAATACCTTGTTAAATTTGCAATTTTTGTGGAGACAAGTTTATATTTATTACTTCGGTCGTATTAGTACACTTGCTAAGAAAGTCATCAAATATTTATATTAATGTTTCAACAACTATGAATTAAGTGAAGAAGAAGGATATTTATTTGGCCTGAAAATTGGTTTTAGGTATATCAGAGATGAACTCATGTATTTTATATCTGTCTTTAAAACTTTATCATCTGCTTTAACTAATAGCGGATCGAGTATTTGGTAGTAGGTTGTGATTTTTGACTCTAGTTTTGTGGATTTTGATATATTGCTGATAGTTTTAATGTTTAGATATTTAGTCCAAACTTTATGTAGCTGATTTGTTTTGTTTTTTTTTTATGGGTCTTCTCGACTTTTAGTAGTTTGGTGTTTCATTGGTTTTTTGCTTTTCCTTATGTATATTTGTTTTCTTTTTAGTGGTATGCTTAGGCTTCTTGTACTAAATGATACCTTCTTTGTGTATTTTAGTGATTTCCATCTCTTAATTAATATATTAATTTGTCATTAAAAATCATATTGCTAACCTATTTGAGAAAGTCAGAGAGATAGAATTACAAAATTTAAGGATGCATACAATTATAGCACAATAAGCATGATCAAATTAAGGAAGATCATAATTGTGGTTACTTTAATCAAACCATAACTAAATATTGTCGTTTAGCATCAATTCTTAGATGTTCCTTCATCTTTCTAATAAAATCTTCAAACTTTTTGTTTAACTCCTCTATACTTAACATACTATTTTCTTCTTCTTCTACATAATATTCTTCTATGTCATTTTCTTCAATTAGAACGTTATCAATTTTGGGCCCTTTATCTCCCTCTTCATCATTTGCATCAAATAGTTCAACTTCTTCTTCTAACTCCATCATTTCTTCTTCTTCATCATCTATCATAATTATCTTTTCAATGTTTTCTTCTTCTACCTTTTCTTCCTCTTCTTCAGCACTTTGTTCATCTGGTTCACTAGTTCTCTTCTCAGCTTCTCTCCCCAACATTGGCGCATTGACGTCAACATCAAGGATATGAGATTGTGGACCTTCTTCATCATCTTCTTCAAAATATTGTGATGATGATTGTGAAACTTCAGTGTTATTTGAAGGCTTATGATCATCAGTATCACAAGAAGAACTTGAGAATGATTTGGTTAAACCAACAAAAACAAGGAGACCATTACAAAGGAGGAACATGCTGCTTTTGTCTATGTTGTGAGTATAGAGTTGAAAAGGTAAAGTAGAGAAATAGAATTTGAAATAATGGAGAAAAACAAACAATGGAGAAGGTGAAAAGATGAAGAAAAATAGAGATAGCGAAATGAATAATTGTGTAAATTTAATGAGATTGGTATTATGAATTTTCATCTCAATGTTTTGGTACTAGAGAGAAGCTGGTGAATTAAATGTATGAAGATCTCATTATATATAGTGTTGATTGGTAATTGAAGATTATTATTATTATTATTATCATTATTAGTTTCTGAAAAGAACCATGCATTCAGAATCATAGGATCTCATAAAATAGATGTTAGGATTGGGCATAACTAAAATTGAATTGTGCTGATTTAATTTAATTTTGATAGAGAAAAAATAATTATCAGGAAAATTGGCATGTTAGGCAGTGTGACAAAGATCTATAGAGGGAGGTATTTTGTCATGAAGGATGATAGGTACTTGAAGGGCAAGTAGAAGTAATAGCCAGTTGTAATGTATTATTTGTCATAGAAATTTGAACCTTTTATCTCCTTCGTATTCAACAAATTGAGATTTGATTGTCAAGTAGTTTCATACCATTTCAGGTTTCGGGCCAAACCTCAGGCCTCAGGCATAGAGATGGTAGTTCACCTTCTAAATTAAATCCGGCACTCCCGCATTTTTTTCATAATAATAAAAGTATTTTTGCTAAAATTTAATTAAAAAACTAAATAATAAATATGTTAGTACAATTTGAAAAATATAGTATATTTTGTAATTTTTTTATTTAAAAAAAAATTTGATAGTTAATTTTAATTATAAAAAAAAATTAACATTATTGAATTTTTGAAAGAAAAATGGTAAAAATTTAGAGTTTTCTAAAAAATTCGATAATATATTTTGAAAATTCGGATAAAAAGTCATTCTTTTTTTAAAAAATTCAATAATTTATTATGAAAAATCTGATAAAAACTCATCGATTTTTTTTAAAAATCGATAAAAACCCAATGACTTTTTGAAAAGTACGGTAAAAATTCATATTTTAATTGAAAATCCGATAAAAACTCTCAGATTTTTTGAAAAATCCGGTAAAAACTCATGTTTTTTGAAAATTTTGGTAAACACTCATATATTTTTGAAAAATCAATTAATATATTTAAAAAATCTAGTAAATACTCGTAGAATTTTTCAAAATTCTGTAGTGTATTTTAAAAATCAGATAGTTTAAATCCGATAATTCTTTTAAAATTCTGTAAAAAAACTCATAAATTCTTTAAACTTCGGTAAAAACTCGTGAAATTCTTTCAAAATCTACTAAAAATTCAAAAATTCAGAAAAAAAACATACAATTTTTCAAAAACATAAAAAATCACAAAAAAAATATTATGATAAAAACATAAGAAATGTGATAGCGTCAAATAGAATTTAGGAGGTGGCAGGACTATTTCTCCATATGAACTGACTTAAAAATTCAATCAAATATAGAGTTTAAATTTTAAAATTAGAATCTAAATTTTGTTTGTGCTTTTTTAAAAAGATATTTAAAAAAATCTATTACTTATTGTAGTCAATATGTATAACTTATGGACAGCTTATTTTATTCAAAAAATTATTATAGTCCATCTGTATAAGTTATGGACAGCTTATTTTATTCAAAAATCATGCATTGAATTGTCGCATTTATTAGATTTTAACTCTTATATTATTTTTTATCTTTAATATTATGCATAAATATAATTAAATTGATATTTTATTATTTAACATTCTCTTTAAAACTTTTTTTATATTTTATTAATATGTATTATATTGAATATTTATGTATTATTTTAATAATTTTAAACTTGTGTCATATTTAAAAACATATTAAATTATTATTTTTAAATAATATAGTATATAAATATATATTATATTAAAAATAAAACATATTATACATAATTAATATTATGAAATTTTGTATAATAAATAATAATCCCACAACCCATTTAAGGTCGGATTTAATTAATAAATTTGACAATTTGTTAACGCGCCTTATATGTTTTTAAAGAAAAAGAAATATACACTAACAGTGTAAAATATTTTTACACTGTCAACCAATGACAGACGTGTATTCTGCCACATCACATTTTTATTTTGTTAAAATTCTATTATGAATTGGCACTTTTAAAATAATCTGATTGGATGAATGCGTAAAATTTCTTTACACGTGCACTGCCTTTAAACTCGTGTTTTTAATGCACCATGCGAATTTTCAAAAATGCTCCACCTTTCGAAGATGCATCTCCGAATGCACTCCAATAGAGAAGCATTTTTGTAAATTCATGTGGTGTATTAGAAATATGTAGAGTGTGTAAAAAATTGTCTATATTTTATACTCGTATTATGATATGCTTTTAAACCCGACACTAAAAAGGCTTGAGGGTTGATAGAATCAAACCCGACTCTAAAAAGGCTTGAGGACAGATAAAATAAACATTTTTAAGAGAGAATTTCTTTTTCTACCCTATGTATTTCTACCGCATCATTTGAAATTCCACAAATACTTCCTAGTTTCAGAGATATATCTCCGGAGGCACGCAAAATTCATTAAACGTTGAAATATTTCAGAGATATTCTCTGGAACAATTTAGAACACAAAATGCGTCAGAGTCTTTTTTTGAAAACAAATACACAACTTATAGTAAAAAACACTTGTTCTGCTACACTTTAGAGATGTGTCTTTTGAAAATTATTGAATATGTATCTTCAAAATATGTCAATGTTTATTTAGAAATATGACACATTTAAAAATATATCTCCAAAATCATAAGACATGTATAAAAGTTCACATGATGTATCATAAATATATAGAATACAATAAAAAAAAAAATCTTTTGAGATTGGATAGTCTATTTTGTCGGGGCCTAAGGTGCATTCAATAGTGAAAATAAACTTGCATGCAACATTTAATTTATTTGGCTAATAAAAAAAAACTAGCTAAAATTAAAAGTCGTGATATTATTTTTTAGTCAAATTTGTGAGACATGTTACTTTACGATGTGTTAGCATCAGTTGGTCTCAAAAACACCAATCCTTGTCCCTCGTAGCAAGTCCTATCAATGTGAGGTGGTCGAATATTAATTTGTTACCATTTATTTTTGTTAGACTAAAAATTATATTTTCTTAAAATAAATAAATCGAATTATATAATTTTTGTGAAAGAAGAGAATGAAAGTTTAGTAAAAAAAATTAAGAATCTTAATTGTTTTCCATAAATATACGTGTTTGCAAAATTATTATTAGGAAGATGGCATGTTAATTAGGAACTGTGACAAAGCCTACATCTATCGAGGAAGGTATTTGTCATAGAAATTTCAACAAATTGAGGTTTGATTTTTTATTTACTTTTTACAGAAATTGAGGTTTGATTGTCAAGTAGCATTCATGCCATTTGAGGTTTGAAGAGCACTCCAACATTATTCAAACTTAACAACAGCCTCCATGCAGAGTGATCTTGGTTGATGATAATAATAAAAATTAGGTGGTCTTTTTATGTTGAGCTTACAACACCCAATTAACTGATATGGTTTTTAATTAGTTTTTTTTATTAAAAAACTCAAATGAAGTGTTTGTTTTACTGATTCAAAAATTATTTTTAAAAATAATTAAATCAATAAATTATATTTTATTGATTTAATTATTTGATCCAAAATTTAATAACTAAATTTATCTTTAACCAAATACGATAAATATTATTTATCTATACTATTATATAATCTTATAATGTCTTCATTAAAGATTTACTGCTAAAACATTTTATTTTAGTTAATTAATTAAATATAAATATATTTATTATTAACTTAATCATTTAAAACTCCTGGTTAAGTCACATTCTTATATTTTAAATAATTATTAATTAATAAATGAAATAAGATATAAAAAAATTTTAAAAATACAACCACTTACCAATAATATATTAACATAGTAACTACCAAGCATAACTTTTCTCTTCATTCTATTAATTAATCTTTTATTATTAATAGTTAAATATTATTACTATTAATTAAATGATTATTAAATTAAAATATTTAACATGTTTATTATTAATAATTAAATATTATTACTATTAATTAAATGATTATTAAATTAAAATATTTAACATGTTTATTTTTCAAATTTCTCGTCACTCAACACTTTTTATTTATATCATACAAACAATTAATATCTCTCCACTCATAACATCTCTCTAACCCCACATTAATAGGATATATAGTAATATTAAATTAAAAAAGTAAAAAAAGTAAATAAATAAGACATATAATGCAAACCTTAAAATGTACTTAATACAAAAATAAATTAATAAATATAATTCATAAAACGGTTAAAGTTTTTTATAGCCCCCACTAATTTCATTATTTTATTTCATTTTTTTCATAAAATTTAAAATTTTTTATAACCCCCACTAATTTCATTTCTTTATTCTATTTTTTTTTCACAAAATTATATTCCCACTAATCAAATTTATATCTCATCAAATAATAATTATATTAAAATATTTAACATGTTTATTTTTCAAATTTCTCTCCACTCAACACTTTCTATTTATATCATACAAATAATTAATCTCTCCCCACTCACAACATCTCTTTAACCCACATTAATATAATATGACTGATAGTTAAATTGAAAGAAAAAAAAAGTAAATAAATAAGACATATAATGCAAACCTTAAAATGTACTTAATACAAAAATAAATTAATAAATATAATTCATAAAACGGTTAAAGTTTTTTATAACCCCACTAATTTTATTACTTTATTCTATTTTTTCCACAAAATTTAAAGTTTTTTATAGCCTCACTAATTTCATTACTTTATTCATTTCACAAAATCATCTTCCCACTAATCAAATTTATATATCTCATCAATTTATACATTTTTTTTACAAAATTATATTTATATTTAATTAATTAATTAAAGGAAAAAATTTTAACGAGAAATCTTTGATGCATACATTATAAGATT